AGGGACAGCAACGAGTTAAGTGAGCTAAAAATGGAACGCGACGAATTGATCAAACAACGGACCGAAAGGAATATGTTCTATTCAAAAGCAAACTGGCGGCAAAATGCAGAACGAGGCACGAAATACTTCCATGATCTTATCCGACGTAATCGGGGTTGTTTGTCTTACGAATCGTTAGAGCTAGAACAGACGGCACCAGGAACTTATTCAAACAAAACAAAAGACATGTTAGAAGAGTGCGTTACGCACTTTGAAGATCGATATCGTTTCATTGCTTCACGCAGTGATAACAATCTAAATTATTTTGCCGATGTTGAACAACTTCCATCTGGGCTGAAGGAAAAGTGTGAGGGTGCTATCACGGAAGAGGAGTTGGGATCAACTCTGCAAACGATGAAAAATGGTTCTAGCCCAGGACCGGATGGGTTTTCTGCAGCGTTCTATAAAATATTTTGGAACGAACTAAAAGGTATATTAGGGCAGGTAGCAACGGAATTTTTTGTAAACGGGAGCGTACCAAAACTATTCAAGAGCAGCATCACAACACTTATTCCAAAAAAGGGAAAGGATAAACGTCTGGTAAGAAATCTAAGACCAATAAGTCTATTGAATGTTGCTTACAAGCTCATCACAAAAAGTTTAGCCATAAGGCTTGGAAAGGTGATCCAGTGTCTGGTTAATGAAGACCAAACTGGTTTCCTAAAAGGACGATACATAGGCGAGAATGTAAGATTGGTTATTGATATCATAAGAGAATCGAGTGAACGTGACTTACCAGGGCTGTTCGTGTTCTGTGACTTTGAGCGGGCGTATGATTGTGTGAGCTGGGACTACTTGAAAGTTGCTTTGCACAAATTTGGTTTCGGGGAGAACTTTATAAAATGGGTCTCAATGCTTTACACGCAATGTCCGAACAATCCGGTAAGTGCGCAGATAACAATGAACGGACACCTGTCAAGGCCATACAAGATTGAGAGGGGGTTAAGACAGGGATGTCCCCTGAGTTGTTTATTGTTTGTCATCTGTATGGAGCCGCTCCTTCAGTCCATTCGTAGGGATGAGCGTATTAAGGGTATGACATTTAATGGCACCGATGTAGAAATTTCGAGCTATGCAGATGATACAACATTAATACTTGATGGGTCTCAGCAGTCCTTACGTGTGTGTATGGAAAAGTTTGAAAGCTTTGGTGGATTATCTGGGTTAGTGCTTAACAGGCACAAGTCAAATGCAATGTGGATTGGAAAACATAAGCATAGGACTGACAAGATCTGTGATGACCTGGAACTTTGTTGGACACAAGGTCCGATAGAATATTTAGGTGTGCGGGTCGACCCAGTGAAATCAGATTTAGCAAGCCTAAACTATCCTGAAAAAATAAAGAAACTTAAAAAAACGCTAAACCCATGGCTCAAGTTTGGCTTAACGCCATACGGTAGAGTCCATCTAATCAAATCGGTTGCATTGTCACAGTTGGTATACACAATGTCAGTAATAGAGAAACCAGACAAACAGCAATTAAAGAGATTGAAAAGATAATGTTCAATTTTATTTGGAACAAAGGCAAGGATAAGATAAAGAGAACAACAATGAAAAATGACTATCACTTTGGAGGACTTAAAGTGCCAGATCCGTCAGTGCAGGCCGACAGCCTTAGAAAAACATGGGTCAAGAAATACCTTGACGATGATACCAGAGGGAAATGGAAAGACGTGATGAAAAGCAAACTCAGTGTTACAGATGCCCTTAGTATTTTTGAATGCAACATAGCGAAGAAAGAGTTATGTGATGTAGTGCATAATCCTTTCTGGATAGAGACAGTACTTGCCTGGCAGACTATCTCACAGGGTACCAGTTTAACCGAGTTGTCGATCATAAACGAGTCCCTTTGGCTCAATCAGGCATTGCGATTAGATAACCATCCCAGCATTCCGAAAAGAAGGATGTTATCGAATGGCGTATTGAGAATTAAAGATTTGTATAATGCCAGCGCTAGGCGTATCATGAACTGTGATGAACTACAGAGGAAGTATAATTGTGGTCATTTCCTTACCTGGCACACTATTTTGGAACGAATTCCACGAGATTGGAAACGCAAACTGAACAGGCCCGAACAAACAATGAATCATCGTGAGGTTGATTTATACGAGGAATTAAACAATACTTACAAAACGGCAAAGTGGTCATACAAACAAATGATAAATCTCACTGTGACAACTACTCCTAATAAAGCTCAAGAAAAATGGGAACGCGAACTACAAATCCAAACAGGCTCATGGAAAGAAGTCTTTAAATGTATTTATGAAAGCACAAATGACTTCAAAATTCGCTGGCTACAGTTACGTCTATTACATAGGATTTTACCTACAAACAGGCTCCTGTTTTTATACCGTATTAGGGACGACGAAAAATGTGATCGTTGTTCATGGCCCGTGGAAAGCATCTTGCATATTTTTTGGAGTTGCGAATCCAGTAAAACCTTTTGGTTAGAATTCAAAAGAATGTTCTCGCTTGCCACGCCTCTTGTGCCGTCGGTGATAGTGCTGGGCACGTGTGAGCGCAACGGACCATTGGCGGCGGCGCCGCTGCGGGTGGCGCTCCTGCTCGGTAAAGCTTACATATGGCAGTGTAGAAATTTGGGGAAAAGACCAGATGCACCCGGTTTTATCACGTTTATAACAAATTACTTAAATGTGGAGCGATATATAGCAGACTGTACTAATAGGGTAGATGTCTTCTGTCGCAAATATAGCCAACTGTTGACCATGCTCGGTGGAGTGGGAGCGAGGACGGACAGTCAGCGGAATATACTACCACGCGAAGGGGTTGGCTAAGCGTTCGCCGTTCTGTCCGCCAGGCAGCGACGGGCAGTGGGCCGACAAGTGCAGTGGTGCCGTTCCACCCGTCGGTCGCGGCGCTTCGATTGTACTGTGCATCGCTGTCACCGACGTAATGGTCACACGTGACACCTGTAAACCAGTTTCCGCCGCTTGCAGGAAGCGGGATTGTGTAAACAATGTAAGCGCATGTTAACACATCCAAAGGTCTGTAAACGAATGCATTGAAAGATGTACGAATAAACAAGAAAGTGTAAAAAAAAAAGTGTGGAACTATTCATACCGTCGCCCGTTCGAGTGACGTCATCAGTTGGCGCTGGCGGCTAGGTGCATGGATTGGCGGGTCCTTAAGTTGGCGAAGAGGCGGAGCCAGTTATCCTGCGTAAATATTTAGCCAGTCTTAATTTTAGCGAGTTCCCTATTTAGGGAAAAAGCAACTTGTTCTACGTGAATATACAGGGTGATCCAAAAAAATGGAACCCCTAACTTAAAATGTCTATAAGTTCGAAAGTTTTCACTTCATTGACAAATTGCAGACATCATTAGAAAGAGCGTTCAATTTTCTATAAAACCAAGTTGATTGAACTTAACTATTACTATAAATATTACCCTAGACTTATGCCCATAAAATTTGTGTCACGAAACTCAGTGAAACGGATTTGAACATCATGCGCAAATCAGTGATAGACTGTTTGCTGTTCTGACCATGTCGCATGTTAGAGGTTCATGAAAAAATAGCTCATTCACGTGCTATTGTAAGGAAAGGAAAGGCTGGCGGCCTGCTGGGATCAGTTGTCCCAGAGACAGCTGACCTGCGCAGTCGGAGCCGTCCCCAAGCGACTGCAGGCCTGCGTGACGGCCCACGGAGCTCGCTATGAGCACATGCTGGGATGAACAGCGGAAGCTGGGATGCGTGTATCTGTTCTACTGTGTGCTTCTGTGTAAACTTTTTTTGTAATAAAATTGAAGTTGGATGTGGTATTAGGTATTATTCGCAAAAAAACAACAGATAGAGCGCTAATGGATTTCAGCGCATTGTTACCACTTGGCGATTTCGTTTCACTCAGTTTTCTGACGCTCATTCCAAAAGCATATAGTGTGCCAATGTTTTACAACATACATGCACCAATTTGACGTGATTTTATAGAAGATTTAATGCTCTTTCTAATGGTGTTTGCAATGTTTCAATAAAGTGAATACTTGCGGACTTATAGACATTTAAGTTAGGGGTTCCAAATTTTTTGGATCACCCTGTATAACCGGTGTTATTTCAGTTGTCGTTCGTGCATTCGCCCACCTTGGAAGCATATCTCCTACGAGGTGCTTGAGTTTTGACGGTGGGGTTTGTGCACTGCATTTCGCTTCAGCATTGAGTAAATGTCTTCAGTATTACGGCTTGTGAATTGTGATACTGCCTGTCGGCGTTGAATGATGTTTGACACCAATAGGACACAGATTAGCAGGTAGTGCGGATTTATTATTAGCAGATTTATTAGCGAATTATTAGCGGATTTATTATTATTTTATTAGCAGGTAGTGCGGATCTATAGTGCGGATAGTGAGTGACGCCATCTGGACCGATGCTGGAGATGGTAGCGCCACCTGCCGCCACTTTGCTGCTCGCTACTTGTAACAGTGCCTGGCTGGTGCTGTGTGCTGATTGTTTGAAGCGTAGTACCTTATGACGTACACTATAAGGTCACTTTGCAAAATTTGAGGAGCATGGACGAATTAATTTGTGAGACATTGACGCCTTAGTAATACGTAATTGTTCCCAACACAAGCTACGTATTAGATTTCAATGTATTGCTCAACTTCCCATAATAACACCAGGGGCGTTAGTGCCGCGCGCCGCTAGCCTATAATCGTGCAGCGATTGGTCGGCCGACTGTGAGCCATGACGTCACAGCCTGTAACGTCATCTTGGCGAAGCTTACGCCAATCAGAGACCTTAGGTATGGGCAGTTCCACACTTAGGAAACTCGCGGGCCGGCCGGCCGGGCCGGGTCATCTGACCGCCGCGCCGGGGCCCCTATCTGCACTGGACAGCGGACAGGTCGGTGCACGTCCCCCTGCTGCACCGCAGTCCAGCCGCCTATCACTGTCCGGCGGCGATGCTGCACCCTTCCAGGCCGCGAGCGGCGCGGGGGCACTGCAGAGGCCGTCCGGGGCCCGGCACGAGCGGACGTGGCCCATCGGTCGTGATCCTGTCTGCGCTGACTAGCGCTGTGCTCTGCTGACTGTCCTCCCGGCCGGCCTGTTTCAGTCGGAGCTCTGTGACGGGACCCAGGCGGCTCACTGAAGGAGGACGGCTGGCTCGGCGACACCACGGCAATAATGGGGAGCCGGCTATCGTCACGCCGCTCTGGGGGCCCGGCCCGGCCGACAGAGCCCGGCTCCAGCTCGCCGGGTGACATGGCGTGGTGAGTTCCGGCGCCAGTGTCCATCCATCCTCTCACACTGGTGCTAATTAGGGCGAGAGATGCCAGAACAACAGGAACGATTCTGGTGATGCAGGTTTGTAACACTCGGTTTTCGTACACCGGCTCGTCAGTCAGGATCAATATCAGTTAGTCGCAGGCGTGATTTGCATGCATTTTTATTACCTTTGCACATGATTGGTAAAGCTAGTGAGATGGCACCTGTCTGAAAGATAGATTATTGCGTCATTAGCCTGTCTTTATCGCCGTACCATGCACCATTTCGAGGTATCTGCTTTTTTTTTTTTGATTTTGCATCCCGGTTGCACTAAGGCATACCGGGGAGGGGAAGCTAATAGCTGGCAATGAGCCAGATCTTTCGTTTTACGTTACTTTACCACGGCTATTCAAGACCGGCCCAAAACTAGCGACTAAGGCAAATAGCTACGTTATACCGGCTCATGTGACGTCCGGTGGGAGGAAAGCTAGGGAGAGCCGAAAAGAAGGCCAGAGTGGCAAGGCCGAGATTTAGATGAATTTTAGTACTTACTTCTGATGTCTTGCAGCTGTATCTTCGTGTGTTGTTGCGTGGTGTTGTTTTGTGGAGTGTTTGTTGTGTATGATTTCTACCAGGAAAAGTCCTAACTAGAAAAAACCTGGTGCCTAGCCAAGAGGGCAAAACCTGTGCGTTTTTGCCAAATTGCACAGGAAAAATCCCTTTAGAAGTAATTACTTTACGTTATATCACTAGAGTGTCACTGTTTTGTGGGTCTATGAATGACTGAAAGGTAGCGGGTAGTACCGGTGATGCATCAGCCTCAATTGAAGCCAATGCCGCATCGGTGGGCAAGGAGGAGGTCAAAATCGGTAGGGTTCCCCCGACGCCGCCACCAGCACACCCGCCGGCGCCGACCGCCGCCGGACCCAGCCCCCGCCCCGCCCCTACCCCATCAGCTAACGCGGAAGGGCCAGGTGCGAGCCGGGCCCCAAGCAGCGACCGGCGCCGCCAAGCGCGCCGACAACAACTCGAGCTGAACCAAAGTTTCAATTCCAGTGAAGTCTCATATTCGGGTAGTCATAGTCGGTTGGTGTCAATGTTGGTAGCAATTTTTGGCTCTCCCATCGGTAATGAAGTAGCTCTTAGAGCTGACGCTGCGACTCAGTGGTTGTCACGTTAGAACTAGGCAACGTCGGGAAGTCGCGTTCAGTAAGCCCGGTCAGGCCTTGTCGTGCCCCAGTGGCGAGGGAGGAGAGCCACATTCCCCCGACACCAGGGTTGTCCATAGGAGAGCCCTTAACGCCCGGCGGCAGCTGGCCGAACAGGTTCCCCCCCTGAAAGGCTTAATAACCAGCCGGTTTAGGACCGACCAATCCTGTCTCGAGTGGGCCTCAACCGTGAAGCGGGATCCCTGTCGAGAACCGGGCGAGACCCAGAAGGAGGAAGTCAAGTCCAGTTGGGACCCCAGGATGTGTCCAGGCGCGCCGTCAGCAACGCTAGGAGGACGGATGTCAATTCCAGTGAAGTCTCATATTCGGGTAGTCATAGTCGGTTGGTGTCAATGTTGGTAGCAAATTTTGGCTCTCCCATCAGTAATGAAGTAGCTCTTAGAGCTGACGCTGCGACTCAGTGGTTGTCACGTTAGAACTTGGTAACGTCGGGAAGTCGCGTTCAGTAAGCCCGGTCAGGCCTTGTCGTGCCCCAGTGGCGAGGGAGGAGAGCCACATCCCCCGGCACCAGGGTTGTCCATAGGGGAGCCCTTAACGCCCGGCGGCAGCTGGCCGAACAGGTTCCCCCCCTGAAAGGCTTAATAACCAGTCGGTTTAGGACCGACCAATCCTGTCTCGAGTGGGCCTCAACCGTGAAGCGGGATCCCTGTCGAGAACCGGGCATGACCCAGAAGGAAAAAGTCAAGTCCAATTGGGACCCCAGGATAGGTCCCGGGCTCCGTCAAACCTCATGTTAAATGGAGTTTTCTAGTTTTGTGTTGTGCAAAAAGTTAAAAAGGAGTTCTAGCAAATCTGGATAGGTATCTCCTAGTATATTTTCGATGTTGAAAGTTATTTTATGTCTTTGCGTGTAATCAATCAATGGTTGTCTAAAACGATGATATTGTGGGCAGCTTATAAGAAAGTGTTTTATATTATATCTGACGTCATCCCCGCAATAGTGACAGTTTGGAGGAGGCATTCCTTCTATAATGTAATTATGTGTAATTTTGGTGTGACCCATCCGTAGTCTAGCAAGTATGATTTCCTTAATTCTAGTATCCTGACTAGAGGAGTGCCAATGTCCCACCTCTTGCTTAATAGGGTAAAGGTGAAAATGTGGGTTTACGTTCCAATCAAGTTGGAAAGATTTTTTTAGAGGCTAATGCTATTGCGTTAAGGTAATCATTGACTGGGCAGCTAATTTGATTTTGTTTAGGGTCATTCAAGCTTTCTTTGGCTGCCAGGTCAGCTCGATCATTTCCACTTATCCCGCTATGACCGGGAATCCAAAGGAATTTGATGTTATGATTATTGGTATTAATAAATGATCTTATTTCATCCACTATGGGATGTGATAGTGAGTTGAGAGAGGCCAGAGCACAAATAGCTGCTCTAGAGTCTGAGCAAATGACTGCGTTATCAATGCTTTCAGTATTTACGTATTTTAGAGCTGCAAATATCGCAGAAAGTTCTGCTGTATATATAGAAGCAATGTCTGGTAGCCGGAAAAAAAGAGTAAAGTTGTTGTGCACAATTGCTGCACCTGTGCGGTTCTCTGATTTGGAACCGTCGGTATATATAAAATCATACTCATTATGTTCGTTTTTGAATTCATTGAACATCTCCTGGATTTCTAGGGGATGTATTAGGATTTTTGGGTCAGAGAAAAGAAGTGTTGTATCTAGTGGTTCAAATAGCCAGAAGGGCTGCAATTTGGGAACCAATTTAACGTTAGGTGGGTCAATTTTGTGATCTTGCAATACTTTGCTTATCCTTACGTTAATTGTTCGGTAACGAGCTTGCTTGGTAGTTAGCCGTTGAGGTACTGGAATGTTCAGAATTTGAGAAGTAAGATTTTCAGGCCGCGCCATTGAGCGAATATAGAATCTCAGTAGTTGAGTATCCCTTCGCCTTGCGAGTGGGGGAATATTTGTATCTATATTGAGATTCATTGCCGGAGTTGTTCTAAGACCTCCTGTTATTATTCTAAGTGCTGCATTTTGAATTACTTCTAGTTTGTTAAGGACCGTTTGAGATATATCACCGAACAAAAAAGCATTGTAGTCTAGAATGGGTCGAATTAGAGATGTATAGAGGCGAAGGAGCGTACGACGGTCTGCTCCCCACGTCCTTCCTGCTATACATTTGAGAACATTTATGCGGCGGGCGCATCTAGCTTTGAGTTTTTCTACGTGATCATTGAAGGTTAGGCGTCTGTCTAGTGTCAAGCCGAGGTATTTAAATGACGTAACTAGTGGGATAATTTGACCATTCAAATGCAAGGGGATGCGTGGAGAAATGTGCAGACGCTGCGTTGAGAAAATCATGGTAGCTGATTTTGCAGGGGAAATAAACACACCCCATCGGGAGCACCATTCTTGGATCAGATTTAGAGCTAACTGGATATATTCATTTGCCCTATCTACGCTGGGGTGTGAAAACCATATCGCCAGATCATCAGCGTAAAGAGAAAACTTAATATTAGAAGAAATACTAGGGAGATCTTTGCAAATATCATTAATAAGCATCAGAAAAAGTGTAGGTGAGAGCGGACTACCCTGAGGTATTCCATGCTCTTGTGATGTGCGCACTGAGTGTGCTACGCCACACCTAACAGAGAAGGTTCGGTTACTAATGAAATTTCGGAGGTAAGTGGCGAGAAGGCCGCGAACGCCCATTTGGTGTAATTTAATTAGGAGGGCAGAATGATGTACTTTATCAAAGGCGGCCTTAAGATCGAGAAATAGTGCTACCGTTACGTTATTGTTTTGAAATCCGCGCTGTACTGAGTCAATTATATGGACTAGGCCGTCGGACGTGGATCGGCCAGGCCTAAAGCCGTTTTGACAGTTTGTAAGTTTATTGTTTGATTCAATGTAAACTCTAATTCGACTATTCACCATTCTTTCTAGGATTTTTGAGGCACAACTACATAGAGAAATGGGGCGATAACTGGAGGGATCCTTTGGATCTTTTCCGAATTTTAGTATGGGGATAAGCGTGGCATCTTTCCAAGTATCAGGGAAGCTACCTTCTTCCCAGAGTTTATTTATTGCACTAAGAAATATTTCAAGTCCAGACTCTGAAAGATTTCGAAAAAAGGGGTAGGCTAGTAGGTCTGGACCAACTGAAGTATTACCGCATTTGCTGATGGCAAATTGAAGCTCCTTTAGTACAAATGGTTGATTGTAATGCTCTGTGTTGTCAGATTCGAAGTGGAGTGTTGAAAGTATGCTGTTGAGAGTGTTGTGTTGTTGCTGTGTGTAGATGTTGTGTGCTGATACTCGAGCGTAATGGGCTGCAAACTGGTTTGCGACGTCGTAAGGTGTGGTGTATTGTATGTTTTCAATTGAGAGATGAGGTATTTTAAAGTTAGGTTTACGTTTGAGTTTAAAGCATCTAATAAGGTTCCATATCTCACTAAGGGGGGTAAATCTGTTAAGTTTACTGGAAAATTCTTCCCACGCCTCACGTTTTGCTTTAAGGATTGTCATTTTAGCATCATATCTAGCTTGCCTAGCCTCCTGTTCGTATCTAGGCGTAATATGTCTTTGGAATGCCCGCAACGCTCTGCGTCTCCGGGCTACCGCTTTCCTACATTCATCGTTCCACCAAGGTGCGTGTTTTTGATCTTTCCGACCTATATTACGGGGTATATTGTCAAAAGCAGCTTGTGATATTACGTTAAGTATTTGATTTATTTCAATACATTCATTTTCGGTTTCAATTAGATTCTCATCAACGTATTCTCTAAATTTATTCCAGTCTGCTTTCTTAAATCTCCATTTTGGCAT